AAAATCACATTTGTTAGCATCGATCTCGGGAAAGAGTCTAAGCTCATGGTGGCAGAAACAAGTTTTTTATAATTCTGATTTTTTGCTTGAAAGTTTGAATTTTATCCTTGGCCACAAATACCGTCCTTGGGGTGATAGACTCACTTGACTCATTTTCAAGAAAATGTTCTGCCAAGTACTGGGTCTGCGCTGCGAGCTTGTTGTTGGTCAGCCGAGCTCTCGAGGAAAATCAATGCTCTGGGGAGAGCTCCCGGCTCAGCTCGGTCACACTGCCCTGTACAGGCGCTTTGTGCCACACTTGCCACACACGTGTCGAAGCCTGTGCTCAAGGTGAGTCTGCAGCAGGGAAGGCTATGGGCCTGAGCTGCCTTCTGTACCGTCAGTGCCAGCATGAGTGCAGTGACGGGCAGGTAACTTCCAGTGTTACTGTGAATGTGGTTGTGACTCACAGGCCCTCCAGAGGTCCTAGGAGCACACTTTGAGAACCTCTGCCTGGAGTTGCAGAGTCGAGTGGTCTGCAAGAGAGTCAGTGCACCAGCCCGGAATTCCCCGGCAGGTGCATCAGTGCTCTCCGGATAACGGAAGGAAGGCAGGAATCAGAGTCATTGGAAATTTCCTAAAGCGACAAAAGCAGCCAGTGCTCAGGCCCAAAGCTGCGTCCAGCTTCCTGGTGGACACCACTGATGGTCTGGTGGGCACCACAGCCTTACTGCTGGAACCACTGCCCACCCTCCCTGCAGAGTCCCCACGGCCTTCAGTGGCCATGCATCCTAAGCCTCAGGGCCACGACTTGAGGTCCTGCTGGGCCCCCGTCACACCCGTCGGCAGAATCTGGGTTGTCTGATCACAACAGTGGTCCCCACCCTACCCCTCCCTGCCTCAGCCCCCTGCCCTGCAGCGCCCACTGCCTACCTTGGCTCCGTGTTTTTTTCCGTCTCACACGTCACCATGAGCACACGACACGTTTGCCATCTTGATTCTGGTCATTGGCCACTGCGCCCCTGCTGAAATATGAACTCTACGGGATGGAGTTTCGTTTCCTGCTGTGTCCACAGCACTCGCACACAGTAGGTTTGCAATAACTGTATGTCGCATGAATCAGCATCAGTAAATAGAAGAAAATTTTTCTTTTTTCTAAGACAGTTTGTTAATGCAGAAACTGTGTCTGAGGCCAAAAATGCGACCTAAAGACCCTGGGGCTGTTTGAAAGGTGCCTCTATTTCATGGTATGCCAGCAACTGTAGGGAGGTTATTTTCTTTAAGTTTTGTCCATATCGTGACTGTTGTGTACTAATCCAACAGCATCGGGAAATTAAAAATGCTTTTATAGGTGTTTTAACTTTGATGTTAAGCTGATGTGCACGTAGCGGCAGGACTGGTTTGATGTTTACTCCTGGCACCTATGGGTGTTCTCCTGTTTTACAGAGGTCCTCAAAGAGGGCAGCGCCCTGTTCCCGGACGTCCTAGTGAGGGAGACCGAGGCCGTGCTCCACAAGCACCGCTCCGCCACCTACTGCGAGCAGCTGCTGCAGCACCTGCAGGCCGTGCCCGCCACACACTGACCAGCACGGGCTCGTGGCTTCGAGTTGACAGCTGGCATGGGAGCCAGCACCATGCCTCTGTCCTTGCCTGCACTGGAATTTGCGGCCTTTTAACCTCGTAAACAGGCCACCTTTTTGTCAGCAGCCAGGACATGTCACAAGCAAGACTCTGACAGCAAGAAGACTGTCCTTCCCAGGAGACCTGCTGCTCAGAGTGGATTCTGTCATCTTACATCCTGTTCACACGGTTCACTGAGAGGTCTCCAAAAATCCACAGCCAATCTGAAGTTAAAATAAAAGTCTGCTGCTCATACTGGCAGCCACATTAGCTGCTGTTTTTGAGCCTCCCCTGCACTGCTGGGTTCATGGATTCTTGGTTATATCCTGCTGAAATGCCCACCAGGAAAGATCTTAACTATCAAACAAAAAAGGGAGAAAAAAAAGCCAAAGTGATTAAAAAGAAATTTCATCTTCCTTTGGGTTCTGTCTCCTGAAATTTAATATTTCAGTGAACAGACTAAAAAGAATTTGAAATCTTAACAGTTGTTACCAATAAAAGTTCTCCCTTAAATATACTGGAACTTTATAAGTTACATGGATATGTGTGGTCATGGTATTTTTTCTTAAATCAGTATGCTAGCAGTGTTGAAAGTAAAATATTTAATCAGATCTAATTTTGGTTGTTCTAAGTAGCAGTAAAGTAAAATTGTTATTTCATTGTCTAGCACTTTCTACACCGAAGTGCCTAAAAGATTTCATTTTAAGTGAGTATTGTTACCATAAGCCATTATTTATATTAACACAAGGGGGAAATGCTGTGTATATTTTTTAACAATCAAATATTAACATTTATGCTTTCATGTTTGAAAATGTAATTAAAAATATTTGTTATAATTATTTTATATGCCTGTCTTTGCAGGGATTTAGTAATTAATTGATATTTTAAGAAACAGCTAATTTTTCCTTAGATTGAGCCTCACAGTGATCCGAGCCTTGACAGTTCTGGGCTGGGGGACCCTGGTTCCTCTGAGAGGGCCATCCAGGGCTCTTGTGGTATCCTCTTTGGACAGCAGGTGGCAGGAATTCCCCAAAAGTTAGGGTGATCACTAGAGGTTGTAAGGCCACCTATGGGCTCACCTTGAGTGGGCCCTGGTGTCAGGTGGGGGGGTCACTCGGGGCTGCTGGGTGGGAAAACATTGGCTTGGGGGTGCTAGGTGGGAGGAGGTCCACCTGGGGGACCCCTGCCCTGTGCGCTGACATCACCTTCACCCACCATCTGGTCCAGACCCTCTGGCATCCTGACTGCTCTCTAGCCAGTTTCTACAATTGACGCTGCAGGGCTTTAGGCTGCCCTCAGATACTGTCTCCCACTGGTTCCTACATACCTTTTGCTGTGTGTCCTCTGCCATTCCTTTGAAGGGTCCTCAGGTGACTAACCAGCATCATCAACATCACCAATCGTGGTGCCTCCACCCAGACCTGCTCAGTTGGCCCTGCAGGAGATCTCAAAGCCTGAGCTCTGCAGTTCTACATCCAGCTCCTGCCCCATCACCTATCTTTGTCACAGGAACCAGAGACACATGGCAGAGAGCTCGGCAGAGGACACGTGTGTTAAAGAACACACTCCACTCCTCACCTGTGCTGTCCCACCCTGCCATGCTCTGGCTGCAGGTCTGAGCGTGACAGTGGGGAGGAGCTCTCAGCAGGGCCAGTCAGTTCCTAGACATCTTTAAACAGAGGGAGATGACATCACGTCCACAAGTGTGTCCAGACTTATGGACACAAGACAAAGCCTACAAGGGCTAATAAACATCTGAGAAGGGTTATGTTCCTCTGTCATTTAATTCTTTGAAATTCTGGTAAATGCCCCCCAGTCAGCAAGCATCTATGGAGCCCTCTGCCAGGCGACAGTGGTAGAGCAGTGGCATAAACACTGTGCCCCTGACGTGGACTTTAACTGTGCTACGGACGTATAATTTATAGACCGTAAAATTCACCCATTCTAAGTGTATGGTTGGGTGAGTTTCACTAAATTTAGAGTTGGGCAACCATCACAACCCACTGTTAGAACACTCCCAGCACCCCAAGGCTCTTTAAGCCCATTGCAATCACCCCCACTTCCACCTCAGCCCTAGGTAACCACTCATCTGCTTTCTGTCTCGATGGTTTTACCTTTTCTAATGCTTTACATACAGATGGAACTGCACGGCATGTGGCCCTACGTTCTGACATTTTTCTGAGGCTGTTTATCCATTCACTGGTCCAGGGCCAGCAGTACTTAACTCTAGCTATCCATTCATCTGGTGATGGACATTTACTTTGGGGCTATTATGAGTGAAACTGCTCTGGGCTCTGTGTCCCCCAGTCTTATGTGGACATATTTCTGTTGCTTGTGGATAAACACTTCAGAGTAGAATTACTGGGTCATATTTGATAAATGTTTATAGTCCCTGATCAATTATTACTGTTTTTAACTGCTTTATTGAGTTATAACTGACCCACAATAAACTGCATACATTTGAAGTGGGCGATTGATGAGTCTGACATGTGTACACAGCCATGAAACCACCACCACAATCAAGAGAGGGAACCTCTTCACGATTCTGCCCTTGCAGTCCCCTCCCACTGCTCCCACTCCCTCGTCTCTAGGCAACACTGTCTGCTCAGTCACTATACAGTAGTTCACAGTTTTTAGAGTTATATATAGATTCCTATATGTATTCTTTGTCTTGCTTCTTTCACTTGGCAGTTATTTTGAGATCGTCCACATTGTGTCCATCAATAGTCCACTCCTTTTCATTGCTGAGCCGTAGTATTCCTTTCTGTGGCTATGCCACAACGTGTCCACTCAGCCACTGATGCATGTCTGAGCTGTTTCTATAATAGTTTTTGGCTATTACAAAAAAAATCTGCTTAGAACACGTGTGTATGAGTCTTTGTGTGTGGACAGATGCTTTAATTTCTCTTACGTAAATATCTAGGAGTAGAATGACAATCACAGTAGATGTAGACATAGTTTTTATTTAAGAAACTGCCAAACTATTTTCCAGAGTGATTGTACCATTTTATGTTTCCACCACCCGTGTATTAAGATTTCCAGTTCTCCCATTTTTGCCAACACTGGATATATCTGTTTTTACTTTCAGCCACTCCAATAGATGTATTGTGGTTTCTCACTGTGGACTTAATTTGCACTTCTCTAACATCCAGTGATGTTGAGCATCTTTTCTATTGCTTATTTGCCATTTGTGTATCTTTTTCTGTGAAGTATTTTGTTTAAAAATGTACGTATTTTAACAAAACTGGGTTTTCTTGTTCAATGTTGAAAATTCTTAATATATTCTAGACAGAAGTTCTTTGTCATATACATGATTTGCAAATATTTTATCTTTCTGTAGCTTGTCTTTTAATTCTTTTAACAGTATCTTTTGAAGAACAGAAGTTTTAAATTTTGAATGTCTAATTTATCAATTTGTTCTTTCATGGACTGTGCTTTTGGTGTTGTATCTAAGAAATCTTTGCCCAACCTAGGGCACAAAGGCTTCAGTTCCTGAATTTAAGAAACTGAAAAAGTAACCATCATAAAGATAATTCATCTATTTAATGCTACCTATACCGTGGCTCAAAGGCAAGTTTTGCTTTCCTATGAAATCCTTCTGTGACCAACATGAAGATATGTGATCCACAAGGGTGGGAGTTGCTTGAATATAAAACTACCACCTACCTTTTAATGGCTGAAGACAGTTCTGTATGTCAGTATGGGATGATCTCCAAAACATATTATTAATTTCTAAAAACAAGGAGCACAGCATTGTGAATAGAATACCCCATTTGTAGAAGAGCAGGGGAGCTGCCTACTTGCTTCTATGCATAAAATATTTCTGGAAGGGACAAAAGAAGCTAGAACCAGTGGTGGCCCCTGAGAGGGAACGTATAACTAAGGGACTGGAGATGGAGTTCAGTCTTTGCCTCTTGGTACCTTAGAATTTACTTTGTAGTGTGTGTATCACCTAGTCACAAACACAACTCACAGAGACTCATCTGTAATCAGAAACGTGACTCTGGGTGATGCTCTCAGCTCCCAGGTCAGCACACCCCTTTCTTCTGTCCAGAGAACCCCTGGCCCAGGGAAGGATGTTCAGGATGTCAAAGCAAAAGGTTTATCAAAAAGTTGTCTTATTGAGAAATGAAAATGCCAAGACTTGTACCCAAGCGTTTATAGCAGCTTTATTCTAGTCCCAAACTGGAAATAACCCAAACGTCCTCAACATTAATAAATGGACAAACTGTAGTATAGCCACTTGCAGAATACTGCACTGCAATCAAATGGCTGCTATGCAGCAAGGATGGCTCTCAACAGATGCTAGGCTGGATTAAACAAGCCAGACATAAAAAAGTGCATTTAATCTCTTTCACGTGGAATTCTAGAATGGCAAAGCTACTCCACTGCACTTTTTAAATCATTGGAGTAATAAGGAGTCTAAGGGGGGGTCATTATACTATTCTCTCTACTTGTGTGAGTTTTACATGAATTTTTTTCATAATGAAAAATATTAAAGCTCTAAGAACAATCATCCAGCTGAGCTTGAAGGCAAAGGCCGAGGCTGTGTGTGCTCAGAGGCTGCCTCCTCCAGGCAGGAGCAGCAGTGCGGTGCCCTTTTACTGCAGGCTTGGGTTCCTGCCACCAGTTGCCTCTTGACCAGCCTGGGAACTTAGTTACATTTTCTAGAAAGATAAATCTTCCTTAATGACTGTTCCCCATTTTACAGGATTCTCTAAACAGCCAGTGTCATTCCAACATCAAGGCATTGCCTATGTGACATCACATATAAGTGAAGGGTGGTAGACTATGAATACCTTATGTTTTCCAGACTTTGGGTCATTTATGATTTTCAAAGCATTTTAAGAGGCCACAGGCAGCACTGCTGTGGATGGTGCCTGGTATCCCAAAGGGAGGAGGCTGAAGCCCTGCTCATGCCAAGTCTCTCTGTTTCCTCCCTTTGACCTGTGCATATCCTTGACCTTGTACCCAAAAGGTCTGAGCCTCTTCTTATAAGCACATGACAGCTCCAGGAGCTGGCCTGGCCACTGAGGCACAAGCACTTGCTCATCTGCACCTAGGTGTCTACTCAAGCGTTTCTTAATGCCTTGGAAAGTGTAATTTGAAGAGACAAGACAGCGCCCGTTCTTGGCTGACAACAAACACAAATGGTAACTGTAGACAGAAGAATCCATTCACAAGTGGAGGTGTTCTCTTCCTGGCCTAATTGCTGGCACTTTTATCCTCTAAGACCTTATCCGCCTATTTCTGTTCTTCAAAAAGTGGCCTCACGGTTCTGGCTCGGGTGGAGAGCTGAGGGAGGGGAGAGCACGGCGGATGCGGGGAAGAGCAGCTAAACAAGCGTAGGGGACCAGGTGGATCATGAGTACTTTCTCCAGGTCTCCCAACACCAGACTTTAGAGCTGAAGTTTCATCCTGGCGAGTTACGCGGGTGTGTCCCTGCCCGGAGTGTTCCGGTTCAGCACATTGGACTCGCACGTCGCATGGCCGCTGCACAGGGTGACGCTGCCAACTTCGGGCCTGTGCCTGTGCCGCCCTTCCCACCTGAGGACACCAAAGTAATTCTCAAGCGTGTGGCATCTCCCCAAACGGTACACGTTTAACTGGGGGTAAAGTTCTGGGAGTGCACAGCCGCTTCCTCTCACAACCACGCCTGGGGCAGAGGTCCCAGTCAGGCCACCGCGATCGATCCGGATGGGTCCGGCAGCCTCCCTGAGCAGGCGCACCAAGGACTCAGGAGAGCTCACAACAGGGAGTTTCCCTTGCGCGATGGTGTGGCACGTGACTGGGAGTTGGCCAATCAGGAGCGCTGGAACCACCGGCCTCTGGCCGAGCATGCGCATAGCACGTGACCAGATTGGCCTTGCAGCCAGACATACGTAGAAGTGATGGCAGCGCTGGTTAGCTGGGAAACCATGTGTGCTCCCTGAAGCGGCCTGGAAGGTCACTTAGGGCGCTTGGGGCTGTGGCCCCCACCAAGGGCACCAGGCCTGGCCGTGAGTTCTGAGCCCTCTAGTCCTTATAGCTGGCGCCCCGGTAGGGAGCTGGGGCTGGGCCAGCCCAGATGTCGGGTCCGGGAAAGCAGGTGGCCTGGCCAGGGCAGCACTGTCACCTCAGGCCTGGAACGGCCTAGGTCACCCTCTGGCGAGTGTCTGCGACCCTCCCCCACGGGTGCTCAGGGAGAGGTCGGGGAGTGGCCCACGGACCTCATTACCTCAGGGTAAGGCCTCTGCGGGCCACGTTTGCAGACTCTGACCTGGACCAGATCCCAGCACATGGTCGGCAGTGTTCGGGTGACAAGGGGCCAGCGCAGGGCTCCGACCTCGTGGCTTCAGTCACCCGGCCCCAAGAACTGGGTCCCAGGGCCCAGGCCTGCCCGACCCCCGCACACAGGAGGCCAGCAGCGCTAGCGGAAAATTTAAAGTAGTAACCACTCCCTGGAAGTTATTCTGCCTTTTGCTGAGACCACACACCAGCTGTTCTGCAGTGTGGGTGATGAAGTACTCCTGGTGGAACTTTTTGTTGGTCTAAGTTCTAATTTAAACAGCTGCTGCAGTTCTTGGTAAATTACAGTAATAGAGCTTCAAATGTGCAAAGTTCAACTACAGTTGACCTTTAAACAGGCACCCAGAGATAGCAAGACCCAACCATCCTCAAAATGGAGACCTTTATGATGATCCACTTCTACTTAATGAGTAGTAAATATATTTTCTCTTCCTTATGGTTTTCTTAATAACATTTTCTTTTCTGTAGCTTATCTTATTATAAGAATACAGTATATACCGTGTTTCCACGAAAATAAGACAGGGTCTTATATTTATTTTTCCTCAAGAAGACACCCTAGGGCTTATTTTCAGGAGATGTGTTATTTTTTTAAGTATGGTACAACAATCTACATTTATTCAAATACAGTTAAATTGTCATCTTCTGGAACATCATCATAACTCTCCAAACCCGAATTCCATCCTGAATTTCTTGCGACTCTATTTCCTTTAGAACCATTGGCCCCAATCTCTCATGTCGAGCAATAGAGCTCTCATGGGGCAGATAAGAAGGGCTGCTCCTCTTCTTTACTTCTCCAAGACGAAATGCATGGGTTGTGCAGATACGCTGTGTAGTCACATCCATCACTAGCTCTTATTTTCCAGGTAGGGCTTATATTGCACAAATGCTTAGAAATCCTGCTAGGGCTTATTTTATGGGTAGGTCTTATTTTTAGGGAAACATGGTAATATATGCAATATACAAAATATATGTGAATCAGCTTTTTGTTATCTGTAAGGCTTCCGGCCAACAGTAGCTATTAGTAGTTAGGTTTTACAGAGTCAAAAGTTATATATGGATTTTGACTGCATGGGGATCAGTACCCCTAAGACCCACTTTGTTCAAGGGTCAGCTGTACTTATGCTTTAATAGAGGGCAGTAAAGTCAGAGAATGTCATTTTATGCAGTTGGACTCCATCATAGATAGACCCAGCAACACACATTCCTTTAGAGAACAAGTACTTTGTTTAGTAATTGCTGGGGCTTTCTCTGGGTATAATCCACATCTCCAAATCCTGTAGTACTACACATTTCTGTGTTTAAGCATTGAATTTGAAATCATGTTTACACACAGTGGTTGTAAACACAAAATGATAGAACTTGAGATGCTTTAATTCTGTTATTTTTATATCAATAAGAATGTTTTTATTTGTGTTTAAGCTTTAAAACAACAGTGCAAGCTGCAAGATATGATTATTTTTGTTTGCTAAGTGTAGATTTTAGTTTAATCATGAAATATTTTACAGAATTTAAGTGATGTCTTTAACAGTAAAATAATTCTTTTTAAATTGTTAATTATTTAAAAACTAAAGAGTAAGAAAATAATAAAATATTGTTACATGATTATTTCTAAAATGTACTTTTCACATAAGAGGAAGGAGGTGTTTAAAATGATCCATTCCAGGTGTCAAGTACTAAGGAAACTAGGTTTGCAGTGAGCAACCTGGACTGATGCCAGAGCCAGTCTGAAGACAGATGAACGTGCAACTGGGACAAGGAGGTTGGTTTCCCCATCTGCTGTCAGGCCCGGGAAACCTTCCAGCCCAGCTTCTGTCCCTCCCCTGGGTTATGCTGGGAGCACTGCTGAGTGCTCACCACCTGTTGATCCCATCCCTTCAGGCATGTGCCCACATAATGGCCACTTTGTGTGTGTCCAGACTGGAAGACTCCCTCTCGCCTAGGGTGTGCACCAGTCTAGCAGCCTCTGAATGGTTATTTAAATTATTTATTAAGAACTCACTTCATCCCACTGAGGATGAGATGGCTTCCAGCAGCAAGAAGACAAGTACTAAAAGAGACAAAATCTGGATCAAGAAGAGAAAAGCAGCTATGTGGAGCTCAGGCCCCAGCTGAGATTGGGCTCCTGTAAAGGAGGCAGAGCACCAGCTCCTGGGAGCAGGGTCTGCTGTCCACCAAGCCAGACAGTCATTTAGAGTCCCTGACCTTTTTGGCACCAGGGACAGGTTTCATGGAAGACAGTTTTTCTATGGATGGGGAGTGGGGGAGGCGGAGCTCAGGCAGTGATGTGAGCAATAGGGAGGGGAGTGGCTATAAATACAGATGAAGCTTGGTTCCCTTGCCTGCCACTCACCTCCTGCTGTGCAGACCCCCCTTTCTAAGTTTCATGGAAGATAACGTTTCTATGGACAGGGTGGGGTTAGGGGGTGCCTCAGGGCAGGCAACAGACCTCTATGCCCCCATCTGTATACCAGTCCTCAGGCCGGGGGTTGGAGACCGCAGATTTAGAGGACCCCATAGGGAAGGGGTGCCTGTCCTTCAGAGCAACTCCTGGCCTCTTGACTGGTATCCATGAGGAATGTTTCACCCAAATAGTGTGATCCTGTAATTCCTCTGGGAAGCAAAGGGGAATAGGGTTCACGGTGAGTCTGTATTTGTTTAAACATTACCTGACTGTTGGGTGAGTCTGCAGTCCCCCATGCTATAGTGCTGTGTAGTTGGGGTGGGATCTTCCCCACCTCTGGCTCCATAAGTGAGTCTTTAAAATCTACCTTACTCTCCCTGATAGTGAGGCAGTAGTTCACAGGCTACTGCCAGATCACTGAGTCAGAGTTTCTCATTCAGTTTTGGGGTGGGGCCTGAGAATTTGCATTTCTAGCGAATTCTCAAGTTATGATGTTGATGGTGACCCTAGGAACCATACTTCAAGAACCACTGGTTTAAGCCAGTCACTGGACAGCATTTCTTCTCCCAAGTGATTGGCCTTCAGGGGTGCTCCAGTCAGAGTAGAACACTATTTATTTGTTTGCATGTTGTTATTATTGTTGTTGATGATTACGTAAAACAAAAGGTTAGTCTCTGTGTCTAAGACATGGAACCAGAACCCTGATCAAATTGTACCTGCTATCCACCCCAAGTCTTTCATCTACTTGACCCAGTAAAACCTATACTGTGTACGCCAATTTGAGCTGGTGTTCTACTACAAAACAAAACATCAGAATTAAAACAGAATTAGAAATAAATACTAATCAGAATGACCTAGATAAAATAAAATTTGTATATCCTAAGCTTATGACTAAGTAAGAGAAAGTGGCTGAACCACTAGGAATTAGTCTCCGACTCCTCTGACTGTGATTCACTTTCCTCCATCCCCGGTACCACTAGAGATTTGGGGGAGACCTGTTGAATGTGGGCCAGTAGAGGGGGTTCTGCTGACAGACTGGAACTACACACCTGGCAGTTAGTCCATCCTCTCCTGGTGATGCTCCGAGATCCAGCTGACTGTGGTCTTTGAGTATAATCCCTGCACCCCAGACAGTATCCCTGGGAAGCTCTAACCGGCCCAATATGGCAGGGTGTGACCCATGAAAAGCCGCCCCCCCCCCATTAAGCACATCCCTCCTAAAGGGAGAATACCGAGCCAGGAGACAGAATGAAGGCAGCAGCCCGTCCTTCCCTCTGCATCACGCTTGATTCCAGGGCTGTGGCGTCGTGTACTGAGAGGTGGGGAAGTGCCTGAGAAAGCACAGAGGCATGCAGCCCTGACGGTGCCCCTCGTGGGCAGAGCTGGAGCGATGTAAGCAACAAAGCAGTACTGCTACTGGACTATAACTTACGGAGCGACAGATGCCCAGGGGGCCACGGGGACATATATAAGTGCAGGAGAAGCTCTTCCCTACAGAAATGTTCAATTTATAGAAGTAGTAGGAACGAGGGAAGGAGAAAATCAGCCTTAGGCAAACACCACAGTAGTGACTGTTGGAAGCAAGATTCACTGGGGGTGCTGAAATTCTAGGCTAAAGTTTTGAGCCCAACAGGTTGTTGTTTGCATAGTTTCTGATATCTCCCCCAAGATATTTCTTAATTACAAAGGGAAAATAGTAAGGCCGGGTGTGGTGGCTCACGCCTGTAATCCTAGCACTCTGGGAGGCCAAGGCGGGCGGATTGCTCAAGGTCAGGAGTTCGAAGCCAGCCTGAGCAAGAGCAAGACCCCGTCTCTACCATAAATAGAAAGAAATTAATGGGCCAACTAATATATATATAGAAAAAATTAGCCGGGCATGGTGGCGCATGCCTGAAGTCCCAGCTACTCGGGAGGCTGAGGCGGCAGGATTGCTTGGGCCCGGGAGTGTGGGGTTGCTGTGAGCTAGGCTGACACCTCGGCACTCACTCTAGCCTGGGCAACAAAGCGAGACTCTGTCTCAAAAAAAGAAAAAGAAAAAATTTAGAACAACTAGAAATAACTTAGCTTTTATAAAGAAAACCGCAAACTTTATCACACACTTGAGGAGGGCACTGTCCCGTCTCTGCACCCTAAATTCTGACCTGGCCTACAGTTTATTTGAGGACTTTTCCCCCTTTTTTTGTTGGCCTGGGTTCCAGGACCAGGGCACAGCCAAAACATCAGGGCCTTTGCTGCCCTCAGATTTGACAGCAGAGCCGCCTCTTTGTTCTCTCTGCCAGGTTTGTCTTGGTTTTCCTTGCATCCCAGGCAGGTTTCAGAACCAACATGCCCAAACTTCTGCCCACATTCTGTCTAGGTGTGCGTTACTGCTACAGACTACGCTAGGGAAGGACCAGTGGTGTCACACTGGGAGGCCTTTAGAAATAAAAGAATTTAGGGTCCGAGAAAGATGGCTACTCAAATTGTGCTGAGAAGCAGAGTATTTGTAAATAAAGTAAGCTTGGTCCTTGATGTGTGTAGCGGAGTATATTCCAGAAAGGCGGAAGGTTAAAGGTAAAAAGAATAACCATAAAATAACTAGAAGAAAATAATCGCAAATATTTAGTCTGGTTTTTTTTGTTTGTTTGTTTGTTTTTGGGACAAAGTCTCACTCTGTTGCCCGGACTAGAGTGCCGTGGTGTCAGCCTGGCTCATAGCAACTTCAGACTCCTGGGCTCAAGCAATCCTCCTGCCTCAGCCTCCCGAGTAGCTGGGACTACAGGCATGTGCCACTATTTTTTATATATGTATTTTTAGTTGTTCAGCTAATGGTTTCTATTTTTTTTAGTAGAGACGGGGTCTCGCTCTTGCTCAGGCTGGTCTTGAACTACTGGGCTCAAGTGATCCTCAGCCTCCCAGAGTGCTAGAATTGTAGATACCAGCCACTGTGCCCAACCTAGTCTGATTTTAAGTAAGGAAGAAATCACAAAGTTATAGCTGCACAAAAATGACAAACTTAAATACAGCAGAAAGTGTCATAAAAGTAAATAAACCAAGTCAGGCACGGTGGCTCTTGCCTGTAATACTAGTGCTTTGGGAGGCTGAGGTGGGAGGATTGCTTGAGGTAAGAAAATAGCTTCTAGTTTGGCAGGAAGTTAAGAAAAAAAATAAAGCAGATAACTGAAAAGAAATGTGTATGACATAGCTTAATTTACTTGACACAGGTGAAGCCCCTGTGAGTAACAACAACCAAAAAAACCCCCGATGAGCTCATTGAGAGAAAAATAGGCCACAGATATGTGTGGGAAGTTCTTGAAAGAAATACAGAAGGTGCAAAAAGACAGGTGTTCACTCTAGCAATCGGAGAAACGACAAGATGCTCTTCTTTCCTGAGAGACGCCAGTCTCCTGACTGGCAGGCCTGCCTCTGGGAGGAGCGCGGGGACAGGCAGTGAGTGCCAGGCCTGGGAGGATGGGCGGGCTGGCAGGGCGAAGGACTTCCCAGGGCTTAGGAGGAGGTGACAGTGGATTGTGGAGGCCACAAGGAGAGGCTGGTGCCCACAGCAGTGGCCCTCTGTGTAAAGGACTGCCTGGCTTGTGGCAGGGTGGCCAGGGGCCACCCACACACCTAAAAATTAAAAAAAATAAAAATAAAAAAAGGGAAAATAGTAAACTTTACAGTAAAGAAACTCAGCCAACTCAGCCCCCACACCTGGACCAGGTGATCAAGGTGTAAGATGTCCCAGACACCAAGGCCCTGGGGAGGATGTGACATCACTTCTGTGATGGTCTTGCCAAAATCATGTAAGCTCATTCTGACTCTGAGAAAACATCAGACAAACGCAGACACAGGGCATCATGAGACAACTGAGCAGCGCTCATCAGACGCATCAGCTCCTGATAGCCAAGGAAACTCGGAGCAGCCACCCTGATTGGTGGAGCCTGAGGACATGCAACAGCTGAATGCAGTGTGGGGTCCTTGGCCAGCCCGTGCAGGGTGAGGACGTTCGCGGGAAAGCTGGTTCAATCTGGGTGAAGTCTGCGGGTCAGCCAACAGGTTATACCAGAATTAAATTCCTGGTTTCGATATTTGCACCACAGTTATGTAAGATGTTAACATCAGGAGAAGCTGAGCAAAGAGTGTATGGGAATGCTCTGTTTTCTGTTAAAAAAGTTGAAAATTATTTCAATATAGAGTTTAAAATATACACACAGGTGGGCTAGGACAAACAGAAAACTAATCTTTCCCTGTGTGGGTGAGGAAGGCACATCCAGCCTCAGAGATGGCCCTCGTGCCTGGGAACAGGCGGGCCGGCCATAGGCTCAGAGGACACCCTTTGGTGCAATTTCAGCTGCTCACCTGTCCCCACTGCTGTGGTGAGTCCAGGCGCCCTGAGCAGGAACAAGCTTGGGAAGCTGAGGGCAGGGAGCCAGTGTCAGGGAGCCTGCAGGTGGGCAAGAGGCCAGTGTGGACAGTTGGCAAGTGTTGGGTCATCAGAGCCTCTGCAGGTGAGCTTGGACACAGCATTAAATAATATTATATACAGCACCTAAATCTCTGTCTCTCGTCCCACCAACTTGGGACGGCAGCTCTGTCCTCTGACCCCACCGAAGGTGAGGCCCTCCCTCCTATCTACTCCTTACTCCTGACAGCTGGACACTTGCTTTCCATTGTCAAGGTTACTGTTTACAGTTAGGACAGGTTGAAAATACTTACTCTGTCATGGTTTGCATGTAAATAGATTCCAAAGGCTAAATGTCAGAAGTATTTTCAGATTATGCCTGTATATATTTTATTTATTCAACAGCCTAGTGTACTAGTATTTCCCTCACTTTAAGTCCAATGGCCTTAAAGAAAAAGATTATACTAGATGAATTGCTTAGAATAATGCCATTTGATTTGGTTTGTATTTAGACCAAGACTTTCAAGTACAGCTTTTTTATTTACTGAGTTTTGAATTGCTTTTCTTGTTTTCTTACTGACAGAAGAGTGTGCCTTCACTCTGTCCTCACACATTGACCGAGCTTCTCCTGCTAAAGTGCTCCATGTGGCCTGCCACCTTCCCTGGGGGCGTCCGCCTCGGCCATCCAGCCTCCTTTCCCTCCAGGCTGCTGCCCAGTGGTCAGCTGGGGACGTCACTCCACAGCCCTCGAGCCGCTGCGCAGCTGGCCCCTGCTGTCTCCTTCATCTGCTGAGCCACGTTACAGCAAGTCCTCTGCGGGGTCGTCTTACTGACCTAAAAGTGCCTTTAATGTTGTCCTTATAACTGGGCATCAATTTCCAGATCCAGAGTTTTCCTTCAGAATGTTAAAGGCGTAGATCTGTAGTTTGGGCGTCCCGACTCTTGAATCCAGATGCTTTCAGGATCTTGTTTCTAATCCCTGATATTTTGAAATTTCCGAAGAGGGCACCTAGACGGTGTCGTTTTCTCCATTCACCCTGCTCCATGCTCCATGGGGACTTTTACCTTCCACCGGTTTTCTTCCTTTTTCCCTGAGAGCTTCCTCTCTGATCTCTCCATTGGGTTTCTGACGCTTCTCTTCTCCGTCTGTTTCTGTTGTTAGACACCTCGGACACGTCCTCTTGTCTCACCATTTCTTCCCGTTTTCCCCTCTCTCCTCCTTTCCATCATTTATCCTATGTCCAAGGAGAGCTAATTGCTATTTCCTAGCTAATTGCTATTTCCTTCTACTGACCTTTCTATTTCTTTTATTTCCTTAAGTCCCTTTTTCTTTAAATCAATTTTATTGAGATTAATTGACATACAATACAATGAAATGGTTCTGTTTTAAGGGTGTATTTTGAGGTGTTGGGCAAGTACATGCAGTTATGTGATCACCACCACAGTGAGGCATTTCTGTCACCTCCAGAAGTTTTTCCAGCCCCTTGTGAGTCGGACCCCAGCCCAGTCCTGGCCCTGGGCCGCCCAACCTGCCTGCTGTCACAGCAGAGGGTCGTGTAATGGAGTCACACACACCGTGCGATCTTCCGTGTCCCCTTTTGTCCTACATGCAATGGTTGGGACGCACCTGTGTCGTTGCGTGTGTTAGCAGCCCCTTCCGTGTCTTTGCAGAGCCGGAGACTATTGCACGGATTCTCCTCAACCTCCCCGTGGCCAGCTCAGGGGCGCTTGGGTTTCCTATTTTGAGTAATGCTGCTCTGAACATCCATATGCCAGTCATTGTGTGGATACATGTTTTTGTGTCACTTGGGTAGGTACCAAGGAGCGGAACTGCTGGATCGTGTAGTAAATATGTATTAACTACATAATAAACTCCTCATCTGTCTTCCAAAGGAGCTGCACCGCTTGACGTTCCCGCCGGAAACAGAGGCGCATTCCTGCCGCTCTGGTCTGTCCCCTCACTTGGCGTGAGATGTTAGCCATGCTACTGTGTGTGTAGTGGGTCTCCTTGTACTTTCAGCTGCGTCTCCCTGACGCCTGGTGCTGTAGTGCTTTTCACATGCTTATTAGTTATCCATAGGTCTGTGATGAAATGTCTGTTCAGGTCACTTGCCCATTTTTGAATGGTATTGTCCTCTCACTGAGTTGTAAGAGTTCTTTGTATATTCTAGATACAAGTTGCCTAAGATACAAGTACTGAGAATATAATCTCTCTGTCTTTGACTTGCCTATTCAATTTCTTTTGAAGAAAATAATTAAAAAAAATTTTTTTGAGACAGGGTCTCACCCTGTCACCCCGACTGGAGTACAGTGGCCTCATCACAGCTCACTGTAGCCTCAAATTCCTGGGTTCAAGCAATCCTCCTGCCTCAGCCTCCCAAGTAGCTGGGACTACAGGCGCCACCACACCTGGCTAATTTTTATGTTTATTTGTAGAGATGAAATCTCCCTCTCGCTCAGGCTGGTCTCAAATTCCTGGCCTCAAGCAGTCCTCCTGCCTCTGCCTCCCAGAGTGCTGGGATTACAGGCATGTGCCACCACAGCCATCCATAATTTTTGAAATCTTGATGAAGTCTGATTCATCAGTTTTTTTATGGCCCATGTTCATTAAATTTTTGTTTTTCAAAAGCTTTTTCTTATTACATGGTTATTTCTTCTTCACAGCATCCTATTCTTGTTTCAAGATATCATATTTCCTCAAATCTCTGAGGACTCCAACTAAAATATTTTAAAAGTTCTCCCTGGTCCCTAATCACTTTGTTCCCTGGACATTGTCATTTCACTTCTTGGCCCTTCTGTTTCCTGCTGCCGGCTCTCCTGGTGTCTCCCGGTTAAGAACAGAGAACCTGCTCAGTTGTTTCTGGTCACTTAGTTTCCTCAATCGGCCTCTCTCCTAAGCAGAGGGGTTGAGGGAGCCTTGTGTCTAGGGGCGAGGTGGGGAAAGGAAGAGGGTTTGGGGAACCTCACCACAGCAGACTGAGGGAGGAGTTGCTGGGAAGCCACCCAGCAGTTTGCTCCGTGTCTTTGGAGAAGAGGCGTCCAGCTTCTTGACCAGGGGACGTGCCGGCCGCCAGCTGCTCTGGGGCCGGGTCTGGGAGGGAGCAGCTGCTCCAGCCTGAGCTTCACTTAATCCCCAGCCAGCCCCACCCCCAGGCCTGCCCCTCTGGGCCACAGGGACCACTGGAGAGCTGTGTCCCTCCGGCCTCCCGCCAGCCTCCAGTGGTGGGGTGCTGCCCCTCCTGCTTCCCGCCTGCCTCCTGATGCCGCCCCACTCTCTCTGGGCGTCTGCACCAGTCACCGCAGTGAGGCCATGGGTGGAGGGTGCTGCCCAGGCCCAGAACTTCCTCATGCATTGAGACCCCGACTCTGTGCGTGAGGAGGAAGGTTCCTGTGTTGTCAGGTGGAAAAAGCAGATTTTTTTTTTTTTGAGACAGAGTCTCACTCTGTTGCCCAGGCTAGAGTGAGTGCCGTGGCGTCAGCAACCTCAATCTCCCGGGCGCAAGCGATCCTACTGCCTCAGCCTCCCAAGTAGCTGGGACTACAGGCATGCGCCACCATGCCCGGCTAATTTTTTGTATATATATTTTTAATTGGTCAATTAATTTCTTTCTATTTTTAGTAGAGATGGGGTCTCGCTCTTGCTCAGGCTGGTTTTGAACTCCTGACCTTGAGCGATCCACCCGCCTCGGCCTCCCAGAGTGCTAGGATTACAGGCGTGAGCCACCTCACCCGGCCGAAAAAGCAGATTTTAACTTAGCATCTACGTGTATCCACTTTTGTAAAAATACATGTGCATAGTGGTAGGAAACTGACAGAGTAAACATAAAAATGTTACAGGAGTCACCTCTGGGTGGTGGAAGGAAAGTGATCTATGTTTGTTTTTAACTTTTAAAGCACTTCTGCGTGTTTTCTAGCAACTTTGTTATGAGTGTGGCGATTTGTGAAGTGCTAATGCCTTAGGCTGTGGGGTCACAGAGGGCTGGGTTTTGAGGGTTCCATCTGCCCCTCACTAGCAGAGCGAATGTGGGAGAACTGTCTCGGTGTGCCACTTGCCAGAGCTGACATGAGGTTCCGTGAGAGCGTGTGCACAGGGCCACGGGACCCGTGAGAGCATGTGCGCGGGGCCCCAGGACGTGAGAGCATGTTCACAGGCCCCTGGGAGCTCAAGGCCCAGAACCTGAAGCGTCCCATAAATGATGGCTGTTGTTATTCTATGTGTTTTAAGACAAAATACCAAGTGGCAAACAATTTAGGCCATCAATGTTGAACCAGTGGCTTTCCTGGGCACCTTTCAGGGTGAGTTAACTGCAGAGGGCACTGCCAGGCAGCTGCCGACGAACTCCTGTGGATAAGGCAGTTAATCATGGGAACCGCTTGGATCTCTCGGGGCTTGAGAAGAGCTGGCGTTGCGCGTTGCATGGTGACATCGCTGGGCTGCCTGAACCAGTTGCCTGTTGAAGCCCTTCCAGAATATTCCATCAGTCTCTTGGCCAGGGACATCCGGCCAGGCCCTCTGAGGCGTTCACATCATCATCGAAGTTACACTGGTGAGAGATGACCTCACCAGCAGGAAGACATCTCGGCCCCAGAGCACGTTGCTGGTGCGTCAGGAGCCCCACCTGCGTCCCTGTCCTGCAGGAGCTAGAGGGAAGGTTTTTCTCGGTCACGTGACTCGTCCTGCAGTGAACTTCTGTAGGTTACATGAGCGGCTGATGAAAGTTAGTAAAAGCTGAAATAAAGTCTTGGCAACTTTCCCTGCAAAGAGAGGGAGTGACCGTGGTCAAAGTGGAAGTCCTGCCCTGTCTGAGAGACAGGACAGGAGCCCGGACACCTGGCATCTGTTGGGACAAAAGCTGACATAAAACTTTGTATTAGTTTTATATATATATATATATATACCTCCTGACGTAACATTTTCAAGGGAGTGAGTGTGCTTGCAAACGAATAGATCCAGGGTCCATTGGTTCTACAAAGCACTTTGAGCACCTGGCGTGGGCCAGGCCCCCAGCTGGACCCTGAGGACCCGGTGGTGACCAGGCAGCCTGGTACGTCACTGTCCAGCAGAAACAGAATGCCAACACATGGGGAATTTTTCTAATAGCGACCTTAAAAAATAAAAAGAAACAGATGAGACTGTGATAATATATTTTATATAGTCCCCTATATCAAAGCACCATTTCACTGTGTAATCAATATAAAGTCTAGTGTGGTATTTACACTATTTTCTTCATACTGAGGCTTCCGAATCTGGTGTGTATTTCACACATCAGCACTTCTCCGTCACAGCTGGTGCAGCTGTCACCGGCCTCGGGTTGTTGGACTGTCCCAGGAGCCCACCCGTGAGATGCAGAAAGTCCTGGATTTTGGTGGTAGGTATGGAAGTTGGGGGCGGGGGGTAACTACAAAACCTTTTGTACTTTGTATAAAAAAATTTTGGTAGCCCAAAAAGTAGGGGCCTAAAGCCACATAGTTCCTAGTGTCCAACAAATGCACCTAGATCATCCACCTCACATAGTCACCGCTACTGCTTTTCCCAGTCATCGATGTTGGCAGCTATGCCTGTGGGTCACAGTGATGAGTGTCCTATTGCTCCACTCTGAGGGATGTGACTTACGGTGCAATTTAAGTGCTTTCTGACCATGAGCATTAACCGTCAGTCTTCAACGTTGCCTGTGGGTTGTGCTTCGTACTGAGATAGTGCTGGTTTAATTTTTAGCATTGTGAGTGTGGTGACCATGTTTTCTAAGAGTTCAGATATTGAAGATGGAAGTGATTACCATACCAATACCCGTGTGACCCAGTCATCACCAACGGAGGAGCCCAGCACCTGTTGGCTTAGTTAATAATACGGAAGGACACACAACCGGATTTACGGAGGCGAATGACCAACACAGCATCCTACGCCATTTGCGGAAAAGAATTTGGGGTTGGGCGTGGTGGAGAAGGGGATGAAAGTGGGTTTGGAGACGCAAGTTCTTCTAGATCAGTCTCAATCTTTTTCATCTCCTGAAAAGCCACCAGCGCTTAGTCAGAAATACTGGCCTCTGGATCCGCTGGACCCACGTACCCGCGGACATGCAGTGTCACTGCGTTCCCTCGATGGCCATGGGAAGCTGAGGTCAGAACTCACATGTCCCTGGGCAACAAAAGGGGACATTTTGATGACAGTGTGGAGCTGACCTGCCGGGTGTCACCAACAGTGACATGCTTTCTACAGTGTGTCATGAGGCCCAGCGAGGAAACATTCTCCAGCTCTCAGTTACTTCGACCTGGAAAAGGGAGTTTCAAATCACCGTCTCGATGTAGATTCGTCCTGATGTAGACTCTTCTCTATGAAGATTTTAATGGAAACCACAGGAGGCATCAAACAAACGATTACTGACGTCTTGGCCAAATACAGACTAGACTTTGCTGGTCTCTCTGCATATTTGGCAACAGTGCAAATGGAAACTGCGAGACGCCCTCGGTCCGTCATCTTGTTACCACAGGCGATGAAAATGTTTTACCTGCCCAGTGTCCTGCACACCCATGCACGACGCTAGGTGAGATTTACTTCTCGGTGGCACTGGGGATGTCATCATGACAGTTTTGGTCACCTTCTAGGTTCCTCAAAATGTGTAGGTACAGTGAGATTTTTGACTTTATAGAAATGGAAAAAGACAGCTGCCTTAATATTTCCTACACGAGAGCTGTCACTGCTGCTGTTAGAAAAGATGTGAAGGTGTCCGCTTGTCGTAAAACCTTATTTTCCAAAGTATGGGACAAGAAGAATGTCCTTCTCCACTTTGGGAATACATGGAGTTGAAAACGGAGAAAGGTTGGGAGGGGGAGGAGGGGATGGGCACACACATACATAATGAGTGCGACGCGCACCGTCTGGGGGATGGGCACACTTGAAGCTCTCACCTGAGGGGCGGGGGGGGGGGGCAAGGGCAATATACATAACCTTAACATTTGTACCCCCATAATATGCTGAAGTACAAAAAAGAAACGGACAAAGGGATTACAGGGAAACAGAAGTTTTATGCTTTTTCTCCAGAATTGCTGGATGGCCTTTAAAGAGGAAACGTGGCCGTACTAACGGCACTGGAGCTGTCCGACGTCCTGAGTAGGTTGTGACGGTAACTACAGAGAAAAGACAACTCATTTTGGGGAAGTTAAGACTGCCTCAGATCTCAAAGGAATGTCACCAGAAAAGAACAGCCAGCTTT